CAAAAAATATATATTTCACAGCCTCTACTTCTTCTGCCTCTCCCAGCTGATTAAAAAAAGTATTTTCTCAATCTGTACCTTCACAGATAGTATAGAATGCATAAACGACTCATTAAAACCATATCTCTGCCTTTATGCAGAATTAACATATGTATTCTATTCGTGGCCATTTCTAGCACAGAGTAGTTTTCTCTCTCAGCTAGTGCTACTACTGGCCACAATGAACCATTCTAAAAGCAGCAGTTACACAAGAGAGGGGACTTGCTCATGGGAGACCGTTTCTCTTGCAGAAATCCACTGACAGAACTGTATTCCCATTTTTCAATGCTCAGAGAACTATTGACAGTCAATTATATGTTTTTTTAGCTTTACTTTTCAATAAAAGTAGACTGATGTATGCTCAGTACAGACAGAACATATACAGGACAGACTGCAGTTATCTATTATCCTGCAAAAGTATGCCACTACCAAACATTTTACCACTTGATGTTATACTTGGAGGAAAGATATTCCAGACACTTCATCATACCCTTATGAGCAATGCATATATGCTTTGGGTAAGAAGAGAACGTTAGTATAATCTTCCAAAGTAAGAAGAGACCAAGGAGTATAGATGTTTGTAAACCTGTCCTTTTGGAACTCACCTGGTAAGGATGGGCAAATCTAAACTGCAAAATAGTGACTGCTCTGCAGTGCTGCACTAAATTATGGCACATTCTCCTCTTGAAAGTGAGGTACTTGCACCGTGTATTTCAGCCAATGATAATCCAGCACACCTAACTTCAGGAGCCCAAATTCCTTATCCTTAGGAAGTTAAATGGAAGAATCTTCTGATTAGGAAGTTAATGAGAAAATTAATTTCCCAAGCTTAACGGGCAAGTACTTCTGCATAGTATTTCAGGATAGGTATCTTAGACACTTAACACTGTGCATTATGAATACTGTATTCCTCTTCTGCAAATACCCAGTTTTAAAGAAGTCACAAAAATGTACACAAAGTTGTATTTGTAGCTGCTGATAATACCCTGCTGTTCCCCCAATTCTCCCTCACTAATCAGTAAATCACTGCTGTACAAGAGGACTTTACCCTAAAATTCAACATAATTATGATGGCCTTCTAATGTAAGGCTAACCAAAATTTCCTGTGTATCTGCCAAAAACCAGTGGACAGGTGAGCTACTACTTACATAAGAAAAACCATGGCGTTGCACTTAACCTGCAAGCAGTAAAGATCCCTAAGGTGCACAGGTATATAATTTCCACTTCTATACACTTGGAATTTGAGGCCAGGTCTTCACAGTAAACTCAAAATTCTTAGCTGTCACTTTTTAATCCAAAACTGTCAATGTAGTAGCAACCCAAAATCCAGTTTATTTTTCCTTAAGACAAGCCATGATCAAGGTATTATTCATATCCTTAGACAGAGCTACCCTACTAGCTCATCCAGCATCTGAACAATTACCGCAAGCCTCAAAGACAGACCTATACTTCAGTACATTACTTGGTTAGAACCAGAGGATCCTTCTCAATCCAGACCTCAGTGCTATATGTTTAGGTCCCTGATAGCACGGTCCTCTAACGCAATAATCAAATCACTTACTTCTCTCTGGAACACAGTTCCCAAAGTCAAATATAAATACTGATTAAAAAAAAGGAATTGTATATATAGAATGAGGAATGCACGGAGCAGATGCACTTGTACCTTACAAATAAGAGTTTGATGAAAGTACTCAAAAATACTATAGTCTGACTGGTATCAACATTTCTATTGGCTTCCTTTTTGGAGTACATGTGCTTCGTACTCATGGTGAATAACAATAATGCATACCAGCCTGATAGAAACTCTGGGTGGAATTTCGTACTTTTGAACTCTCTTCATGATTATTTAGTAGCTTTAAAACAAACTAAAGCATGTAATCTCAATGAGTCAGAAAGATTTTTTTTTCCCCTAATAATATTACTCTTAACCTGCAAATATGGGAGAATGGACGTTATGCCAACGGGCCTAAAGCTAATCATTGCTTTCAAGAAAACTTTGTGTACATTCACAAGACTGACACTAACAAAACTGCTAATGAATCCTGGAATTTTCAGTTGCCTCTTCCATTTGTAAATCTCTACCACTGTATCTTTTCCAGAATTAGCATGTTTACAGAGGAAGTATCACTTTGTATTAAATTAAAATGCAGACTCAAAGCCAGTAACACCCATTTGAAAGCAAGTTCTAGCCAAAAAGCAGAAAGCTCTCCTCTTAGAAATGCAATCCACCTACATAAGAAAAATGGGAAGCCTCCCTGCAATTTGTTTACTCCTATGACAAAACCAAGAATGACGTGGTTGAAGAGGCAGAATAGGGGACAAATACTTCCTGTTTCAAAGCTTTAAAAATGCTCTAAGATACCTTTATTTATAATTTTTTACATGCAAGTTACTGCAGTGAGTAACAGTGCAGGCCTAAAGAGCAGTGCAGTGTGCTAGCCAAGTAACCGTTACTCCAAGCTCCTTCCCCCAGCCTTTTTTACATACCCACAGGAGCACAGCTGACAAACGCACTTCTTCAAGGATGGAACTACATGCGAAGCCACAGGTGATATAGGAGACATGTTCGCTAAGAAAAAGTTACGGTTCAGGTCTTCCCGGCAGATGCTCTATAGCAGAACAAAGGAAAAAAAAAAAAAAAAAAGAAAAACCAACCAAACAAAAACACTCTTCAGCAGCAGACCCTGGAGACAATTATGTCAGAAGATCTAGGAACCTTCAGAAGCAGGGACAAAGCACGTAACGCTAGTACAGACTGCACTACACACCCCAGCTGACCAGCTCCTTCCCTGGGGCAGCATGCCCAGGTTCCTCTGGTGGCATCCCAGCCAGAGCTCTGCGGTCCTGCTCTCAAGCCTCTTCTGATCAGGGCATGAAAGCCTTCACCGTCACCTGGGGAACCTTTGTGAAGTCACCAGCACCAAGCTCTAGAGCCCAGGTCTGCAAGGAACTGTCACGGATGAGTGCTTAAGCCGCTTAAAAAAAATCACCATCAAAGATATTTGCAAATAGTGATTTTAATAGAAATATATAAAAGTGTGGTTTAACAGAGTACGATGGCAAGGTTCACTCCATTACTTATTAAATGAATGAGAGAGAGAGAGAGAGAGAGAGAACAGTTTAAGGTTTGTTTGCAGCAAGGAGAGAATCACAACATTTAGCAATAACTAATCATTAGTTAATCTAGCATCTACAAAGTGATTAAATGAGGTTTACTACAATATTTATATCACACACACACAATAGGCCTAAGTACTCATTATATGCGCAGTTAAAGGTACCAATAAAAATTCCCCCGGGTTTAGCAAAATATTCACTTTAAACGACTGTCTCAATGGGCAAGGGTCGAACCTCGAGGAGCAAGGAGCGCCAGAGATCAGCTCGAGTTCGCTGCTCTGAGAGGCGTCCCACTCAGAGGGAGATTCTGGTGCAGCCCGCTGCGGTCCAGGAGAGCTCAAAGGGTCTCAACTTGGCACCGCCGTTTATAGGATCATGAGATGATTGATTGACTTTAGGCATCAGTAAATTTCCCTTCTACTTTCACAGCCCGTGTTGAAGATTACTAAAGTTCTCAAAAATTCCAGTGATGCTGGTACAGATCTTCCTGAGTTACAGCCTAGACAAGACAGGCCCCAAAGCTGCCAGATGGCGATGAGTACAGGAAAAAAATACATTACAAGGTTGTCAGGGCTGCCTCCCTGGTACAGATAGTGCTGCTCCCACTTCAGCCACCTAAGTTTTGATACAGTCAAGGGATGCTTAACCGCCAAACTTGTTACACAAAGGCCAAGTTTTGACGGGAGTTACTGAGACTGTAAAGCAGCTTCGCTTCCCATGCTCTGCCAGGTGCACAAGAAGAAAAGGCTGGGGCAGGGGAATGCACCACCACAGGAACGTGGCTGGGCCTGTTCCAGACAACCAATAGCTAAGGTCAGACCTTCCAATTCTCTAGCTGTTTGACCATGGTTAGATCAACAGGTAAATGGGCTATTAAGCAGCACTTCCCTCTTAGCTGTTAACATGTTAGCAGCCACATTACAGCTTCCACAGCCAGCCACATAAATCTCTTTTCATAAAGCTTTCCAAATTCTGCTTTATAAGGAAGATGTCAAATACAGCTAGAGAGTCTTCTTAAAACGTATTTGCAATTGTTTTGGAAGAAAGGAGGAGAAAGATATACCAGAACAGAAAAGTAACCTTATATAGCAATGCTTCAAAACTCTGTAGGGGTCAGTAACTTCTTAACTCACATTAGGGGCCAGTACTTTTACAATGAGAAGTTTCTCAGCTGGAGCCTCAACTTTTATGTTCACACACCACCATAAGCAGTATTACCAGTTACTTACATGACAGTGTCAAAGATGTTTATCAACTATTTGAAAATAAAGTGACCACAAGTCACAATTTTTTTTACAGGTTCAGTATAAAGCATTTATTCAGTAGTATGCCTAAAGAAACAGGAACTTTAGTGGAAGTTTACAAAAATACAGCAGCATCTATCAGCAGGTAGCACTGACGGCAACATCAACCAGAAGTCTCAATAAGAGAGAAAAATCCAATGAATGCAGAGCACCAAGTAAATTTGGTGGGGGCAGGGGCGGAATTACGGGCAAGACAGAGACACCAAAGATTCCACTATTTCTCATTTGAGACTTTGTTTTTCCATTTCTAGGATTATGCCACCTACTCAACATCTGCTATTTTTAAAAACATGCTTAACAAGGAATATATCATTCTGTACATAATGATGGGCTGTACATAGAATGCTACTACGGATGACTTGAAATTGGAAGAACCAGAGCAGGCAAATGACACTCTTCAACAAGCAGACTGGAATACAGTCTCTGCAAAAAAATAGAAAGGTGTGCAATTTCTCAATCTAGGCAGTGCTTGGAGAAGATGCTACACGCCCAGGTGAACCATAATTGTGCTACTATGGCTATGCTTCTGCTTTACAAATTCTATTCTGATGTTGGTTCCTTCATGCCAGGCTTCTCATTCAACTGCTCTTTATCTGGAAGAAAAAGTGGATTGGTTAGCACGCTACAATATTCAATTAACTGACAGAAATACTGCTCCAAAAGTGTTTGGTGTATATTAAAAAAAAAGCATATATGAAATGGTTCTTCTAATTTTGACAATTGTTCCAAGTAAGGTAAAACCATCTACTATCAGTATAACCTTAATTTTAAGCAGAGGCTGAATTGCAGCAAGCCTTTGCACAAAGTATAAATCTCATTACTTCTTGAGACTAGCTGGTTGTGTTAAATTCCTAGTACTCCATTAAATACCACCCATTTTGGTGAAAGTCTTCTATATAACTATTATTGGCTCATTTTTATTAATGCATTTCAAAAGCTGGCCTCACATGTAACTAAAGACTGCACTACTGGTTAAACAAAGCTGACGCTTCTGTTGGAAATGGGGTGAGGGGGCAGGCAGACTGGAATGCAGGATATTTATTAATAATACTTTTTATTATGAAAGTATTACAGACTACGAACACTTGACTGACCTCTACAAAAGTTCCAATTACCTACAACACATTTCTAAATAGCCAAATTTTTCAGAGTAAACACACTATTTCAAACTAACTGTGAATTCTCAAAATTTAACTTCAGATTAATCCATTGCTAATGCACCTTAAGGCCTTTTTTTTTTTAATAGCTGCAGATTACCTTAGAAAGTCAGATGAGCACCTTTCCTCCTACTTGCAAGATGTTGATACAACTAAAGGAAACATGTTTCCTTTGCTTTTTTGTCTCATCTTCCATAAGGCATAAGCATACAAATAATCCGTCCCCCCATACTTACACAGCAGGGTTCGGCTATTCAGAGTAGGTTATTTATAGTAGTATACTCAGTTGCAAAATGGACAAAATCTAGTTGCTAAAGTACATGGACACTTACCCTTCAATTTATGTATTATGTCTAACGGGATTTCGTGTACCATTGATGCCATTTCCTCCAGATGCTGGCAGGATACCAGCAAAGATGACAGGGAATACTTTCTTTCACTAGGAGATATTGGCGATGGTATCTTAGTAACTTCTTCATCCAAGCAGAAGCATTCCAGAGGACTGCACAATTCACCTCTTTGTCTTTTTTCTGGTGCAAGACTTAGGTCTGACCTACAACATACAGATTCACCTCCATTATGTGTTTGATGCAGCTCCTCTTCACTTCTAAATGCAGTCTTTTTCAGTGCTTCATATGTGTTCTGAAAGGGCTGTTCATATTTTTTAATATCATCCTTATTTTTTGAACCATCTGTTACATACACTTTGTCCATAATATCAAAATAAGACCCTGAGCTTGCAGATTTGTTGGAATCTATGTTATCAAGTTCTTCTGGAAATGTCTCATCCAGTATCCCCAACCAGTGATCTTGATGAGTGACAGGACTTAACTGTGGAGACACATTACGATGCAGCATCCCATCCATTAAGGAACTCCAAAAGTGGTCTGAAGGTAGAACATTTGTTCTACTATTGTTTTCTGAACAAGTATTTGGAATATTCATGCTCTTCTTTACATGTGGAAAAGTCTGTTCTTCTGTGTCTTCTACATAACTTTTATTCAAAACAATACATTTTAATTCCTCTTCTTCAGTCCTCTCACTCTCTTGCATTCCTGATGCTTCCAAAATTTCAGATTCAATATGACTTATCCTCATCTGCTCTTGAGGTCTAAATTCTGTATAACTTAATTGGGACTTCCTTTCTGACAAAGGAGGATCAATATCATGTACAAGAGATGCATGGGTAGAGCACACGAATCTAGAGTCTTCCGCCTTCTGCATTACAGGGCCAGCATCCATTGGAGCTTCTTCTATCACTACTTCAGCTGGGACCAGCTCTATGTCTGATGAGGCCTCAGTCTGAATAGCTTTTCTCCATGAGCTTCTAATTTCAGTAACTAAATGGAACAAACCAAGGTAAAATTTTAGTACTTTCATACTCTCAACCAATGTTTTTCTTCTGTCCCTTCAGTACATAAGCAACCCAAGAAGGAAGACATATAGCCGCTTTATATTGTTTATGCTTAGTTTTTTTCCTCTACACGAAGGGGATTCTACACAGAGGGTGGAAAAAAAAATCTATGTTAAATGAAATTCACCGTATTCACATCTTATTACGCCTACATCTTATTAGGCCTACTATATTGTGTTACAGTGTGAGCCAATAGGATAACTTGCAGCTTCACTGAAATAATTATCTTTTTCTTCTTGTGTAACATGTACAATGTCAATGAACCAATCACATTTCTAATCAATGAGTATTATAAAAACAGAGTTTTAGACTTACGCAGATTTTCTGGAGTTCGGGGAATTTCTTTCCTTGTTAAAAATGGGTTAAAAGCCATTGAGCTAATGAGATCTTCTAATGCCATTTCTTTTCCTTCGCTACTCTGGGGCGACTCAGATATCACTGTTTTTGCAACCTGTAGGATGTTAGAGAAGGGCAAATCCTGAGAAAACAAAATTATAACCTCTTTATCTCTGTCAGTTACTGCTCAAAATAAATCCCATTCTCCCAATGATCTGAAGAGTCTGGAATCTCCTGACTCTTCTTCTGTCATTTACTACTTAGCCTCACAATGACCACAGTGTCCTACAAACAGAAAATGAAGATATGGGACTGAAATCGGAATTCAGTTCTAAGTTCCCTCATCACCTATGAATCCATCTTTAAAATAAGAAAACATGCTCAGGTGGAATATATTTAAGACACTAGTCAAAAACTGCATAAGCATGAAGACTAGAGCTATATTTACATAAATAAAACATTTTAGCAGATGAAAAATAACTGTACCATTTCAGTGAAAGATGCAATTTACTTTCCAAATGAAGCTGTGACACTTTTCACAGTAAATCTTGTGAAGGAATTTCTCAGTTAAATCTTAAATAAAATACCTAAGAAAGGAAATACTTAAATTGCTGCTTAGAATTCCCAAGCCCCTGTTAAATATTTAACTTGCATAACTTCAGAAACAAAAATGACTGTTGAATTCTTAATATATGCAGTGGTTCATAGATTAAAGTATGAGAGGTGATAAAAATCATACCATGGTTCTACTGAAAGTGCTATTCACTTCACCATGATTTATAAGTACGATAACTGCACGAGCTCCATATTTTCAGGGTGTACTTAATTGGCCAGTGACACTGATTAAAACTTAGTGACACTGATTACTATCTAGCAGAAAAAAGTTACTTTTGATGTATGAGGATTTCAAGAGGCATTTTATGATATAATTAGTAATTTGTTCTCTGAACTTAATGACCATTTATTTAAAAACAAACAAACAAAAAAATTTAAAAATAACTTTTCCTAACCTCTTCAGCCAGTTCATCTCTGGCTTTCTCAAGAGGATCTTCTTTTTTGACAGGAGACTCTGTCTGGATAACATGATCACCTGCATTCTCCCTCATTTCTGAAGTGGCAGACTCATCCTTTCCATTCTTTAAGATCTTTGGAGGCACAGGCTTTTTTTCCCCCTTGCAAGTTTCAATATGCAAGTTCTAGAGCAATACACAGGAAGCATTAGAAGTTTTAAACTCAGGCATCAGAAAGTTAACATGAACAAACTGTTGTAATGGCCTTAGTGTTTAGTCAATAAAAGTATTTCAGTCTTAAATTCTAACTAAACACAAAATATTTTTACAGTTTTATTTAAAGTAGGACATAGGTAGTGGCCAGGATAGGGTGTTGAATAGAACATAGATGACTCATCTGCAACTACCCTGAACACACTGCAGTGAACAATTCTGCAATGGACAACTGTATATCCAAGTTGCTTTTAGGCCACATTTTAACACTTAAGTTCACACACAACTTAAAGAAACATCAAAGTCTGACCACTGCTTACACCAAAAAGTGTTTCACCAAGCAGGGTATCAGTGACATATTGCATGCTGTACTGGAAGTCAGGTGCAAGTGCACCTACTTCCTACTGTCCTTTCCTAAAGTTTAATGAAGTCCCTGGTAGCTAGCTTTTACAGTTTTACAGGACTGATTCAAATACTACTTAAAAAAAAAAAAAAACCGCAACCATCCCCCCGAAATACTAAGTCTAGGCTTCAATCAATGTAAAAAGCAAACAGCATAAGTTTAACTTTTTTGACAGGTACGAAATTACTGAAGAATAACCTTTTCAATTAACATGTCTTTGTTTTCACACGCTTTTGACAACTCCAAAGGTTCTGAAGAGATCCTTGGCAGTGGATAGTGGGGTTACAAAAAAAAAAAAAAAAAGAGGTTTTAGAGACAAATTAAACAAGCCGCATGCAAGTCTTAGTACAAGGCCATTACATATGTGCGCCCCGTATCTGTCCGTTACGATTTCCCTCAATTCGTCCCGGTCATCAGAAGGCAATTTTACTATAGGGAGAACATGTGACAATTAGAGCAGATTTAGCCCTAGTTGTGTATCAGCCTCCCAAAGCTAATAAATTATGAAACTTTTCCCTTTGATTCCCTTCCTTTTCTGTTTGGTATTTTGTGATACATTTTGTAAACAAGACTTCTCTATTCTGCAAGCAACAACTTAGCCCTACTTAACAAGAACCAAAATATCAGGGCATTGCCAACATTATTCTCATCCTAAATCCAAAACACATCACTATACCAGCTACTAGGAAGAAAATTAACTCTATCCCAGCTGAAACCAGGACAAAGGTACAGTCCTCACATGTTACGGAAAACACATTAAAACGTTAATATTTGCTGTTATTTGTCTTTAGAATCAGAAGATGACAAAAATCCATGCTTTATGAAGTCACTGAGAGAAATCCAGGCTTTAGTTGTTAACTACTTGGACAACTTTTGAGACTTATATGCAACTACATCTACTGATGTCTAAGTATAGGACAGCCTTCCTTTGCTAACTCACTTTCTCCCCTAGTGGGCAACTTTGAAGTATCTGTAGGAGTCATATTATGAAATACAGTGTTATTCAAAACGCCATGAAACCTTCATGGACTAAGTAAATGGCAAACAAGACAAAACTTTTTAGAATACCATTGTTTTGTGTTCTATCCTTTACTGGAACTGTAGTAAGACAAGCTATGGAACAAAGTCAGCTTAGAAAATTCATGAAAAAAGCCTTGTTGAGAAGGTTTAGCACAGTAATTCTGCTTGGGAGTCAGGGGGTTTTGTTTTGGTTCAGTTTCAGTTGGTTTGGGTTTGGTTTTTTTTAAACACAAAAGAAGGACTCCTGTGAATGTCTGTTCTTTTATTCTCAGGGTATACTGAACATATATGCCTACCTCAAACCAGCCTAAGAAATAGAATTCTCTGTTTTCTCCACCTGCCTCTTAAAACTTGAAAGAACATAGTTAAAAAGTGAGATAGAAACCTTGCAACTTAGAATCATAGAATCATTAAGGTTGGAAAAGACCCTTAAGATCTTCGAGTCCAACCATAAACCTATCACTGCCAAGTCCACCACTAAACCATGTCCTTAAGC